CCATGTCCATCCCGTGAGATGCCACGTCCGTCCCGTGGGATGCGGTGGCGCAGAACCGCAAGGACCCGCTCCCCAACCTTGCCACCGCTGCCCGGGCGGGGATTTTGGGGAGATGGCCAAGCTCACCTGGATGAAAAACGGGTCCGGCTGGCTCTGCAGCTCTTCATCCCTGCACACGGTCACAGGTCCTCCCTTGCTGATGCTGCCACCCACAAAGACCTGCAAGAGACCAAAGCTCTGGGTGGCCGAGATGGCGAGGATGGGGCTGATCCCAGCTGATCCCAAGGGATGGAGGAAAAGGATGCGACTGGGAGCCCGCTGCCGCCTTACCTGCCCCACCAGCTTGGGCTTGTGGGTGTCGGAGATGTCGTACTGGCGGACGTCTCCGTGCAGCCAGTTGCTGAAGTACAGGAACCTGTCGTCCAGCGAGATGAGGATGTCGGTGATGAAGCCTTGGGGAGGGTACGACAAAGCTGCACAAACAGACGGCAGCACCAGCAGCGCCCGGGGAAGCCGGGGGGCACCTCGGCACCCAGCCCGGGGATGTGCTGACCTGGCATGTCTGGGAGGAGCCATCCCTCCACCTTCTTGCTGGGGACTTGGATCACCTTCTCGGCCGCCCAGTCTCCTCGCTGCAGGACAGAACACGGCCCCGGGGGGCTCAGCGTGCATGGCAGAGGCAGGATAAGACCCCGTGCTGGGGCAGACGCTGTATGCTCGCCTCCACTGCCTCGAGTCTCCAGGGCTGTAGCTCAGCTACCCTGCCAGCCGTCTCTGCAGAGCCACGGGGAAAATGGGCTCTGGGACCTGAGGAAGGGCTTTACGGGCTAAAAACTTGTCTAATTTTCCAGCTAGATCGGCTGGTTTGGTGAAAGATGTTCTCCCTCCTCACCCCGTTCATCATTACACACAACAACAGACGCAGAAGAATATTACTCGGGCTGTTGTAAATCCACAACAAAGGTACAAATTAATCTCCTTGAAATGAAATCATTTCAGCCTAAACTGGTGCCAGTCAGAACAAGTCCTCTGGTGAGGTTACCCCAAGCCAGCTCATGTTCTGGGCGCAGAGAGGTGGCTGCTCAGCCCGCGGAGGCGGTGTGTGCCTCGGCGGGGACCGGGGCTGGGCTGGGAGGGTGGTGGGGGATGCAAGGAGAAGGACGCTGCGCAGAGGTGTGCGGCTGGGTCCACCAAGGGGCAGCACCCCTTTTCCTCAGATCCCCCGGTGTCCCCAGGGGAGCGTGTACCTCGGTCTTGTAGAAGTGGTGGATCGCGCTGCTGATGGTGCAGCCGAGGCGGTGTGTGCCTCGGCGGGGACCGGGGCTGGGCTGGGAGGGTGGTGGGGGATGCAAGGAGAAGGACGCTGCGCAGAGGTGTGCGGCTGGGTCCACCAAGGGGCAGCACCCCTTTTCCTCAGATCCCCCGGTGTCCCCAGGGGAGCGTGTACCTCGGTCTTGTAGAAGTGGTGGATCGCGCTGCTGATGGTGCAGCCCACGAAGCCCTCGGCGGCGTCGGGATTGTGGAGGAAGCGGATCTCCAGGGGGGCCGCGTCCTCGCCCACGTCGATGGCCTGGATGTAGGCGTGAGTGGTCCAGTCCCACACGTTGAGGCGGCGGCCGTAGCGCCCTGGGAGGGGAGGGCAGAGCGGGGGTCAGGGGGGGATGCTGCAAGGCGCGGGGTCTCAGGCAGACACGGGCTCGGGTGATCCCTGAGCCCCTTCAGCTCCCGCAGAGACGACCCCCTGCTCTCTGCACCGGCACACGCCGGTTGCTTTGGAGCTTGACAAAACCCATGGGAAGGTGCCCAGTGTCCAACAGGGACCGTCTCGCTAGGATGGGGTTGGGAAGGGTGATGTAACCTTTGGGGGGAGCTGGGCTGAGACGGCTTCGTCCTTCATCCCTACGGCCGAGATCCAACCCCACGCACAGCTCAACAGCAGCAGCTGCGGCTGCCTTGGGCTGAACTTCTGGTGCTTGCACCCAAGTGCGTTCACCATAAAGGGGCTGGGCTTGGCTTTTTTAAACCCATGGGATCTCTAGGAACTGGTGTGAAATTCATTTTGCAGCAAACGGTCTTGGACAGTTTTATCCGTGCCCGTCTGGTGCCAGCTCTCACTCGTGGCAGCAGAGGGTTGGAAATTTGGCCTTCTGGCAGCCCTGCTCAGCGTCTCGCCCCTGGATTATTCAAATAATTGTTTTCTCACCTTTCTTCAGATCGTTTGGGTCAAATCCATATCCCAGGCATTTCGGGATGCCCCATTCGGTGCTGATGAGGACATTATGGCGTGGCTGGTACCAGAAGTCATAACCCATTGGGGGAGTCTTGTCCCCTTTCTCCCAGTTCCCCTTGATCTCAAAGGTCTCTCCATCCAGCAGAATAAAGCCGCCTGATGCAAAAACAAAGCCCCAGCAGTAGCGAGGAAATTGGGCAGGTCACGTGGTATGGAACAAGCAGCAACAGCCAGACCAACCCGCTGTAGCCCAGGCTGCCAAACGGGCTGGGAGACCTGGATGAAGCCTCGAGGGCAACTCTGGACCGTTCCCCCTGTCCCGGCACCCTCCCCCTGGGGGACTGGGGTACCTTTCCCGTTGCCGGCTGGGTCTCCCAGGGTGCTGATCATGATTTCACCGCTGCCCAGGCAGTGGGAGGTATGGGGGTAGCCCAGGTTGCACTTCCAGAAGACGTCCTCTGGGTTGACAACCTGCCGGGAGTTCACAGGCACCGTCACGTCCTCCAGGCAACAAGGGTGTTTGCTGCTGCGCCGAGCGCAGGTTTGCAAGCCTGGTGTTCCCCCGCGGCATGGCCGAGCCGTGGCGTGGCTGGGCGGCTCCTGCCTGACCTCAGGATGGGACTTGCCGTGCAGCCAGAGGGGCTGAACGCGTGGGCTGGGGCAGAGCGCACCGGTCCTGCATCCCTAGGCGTGCCGGCACACGGGGTGGCTGCTGCCTTTCCCACGCGGAAGTAGGGGCCAACTGCCCGCAGACACCTGGGGCTCCTTTGGAGACCCACGCCGCAGGCGAGACATGGGCTGTAACCCCGAAAGGCAGCACTGTGCCTGATGCCCGGCATGCCCTGGGCCCCTCCTGCACGGAGCTGGATGGAGAACTCGGTATTTGCACATCAGCAGGAGAAAAACCACCTTCCGCAGCCTTCCCATACTGTCGTCCAGACGTCCTGCAAAGCTTCTAGATGTACCCCAACGCCTCTTTGCCAAGCTGCCGCCACAGCCAGAAACCCCGAAAGGCAGCACTGTGCCTGATGCCCGGCATGCCCTGGGCCCCTCCTGCACGGAGCTGGATGGAGAACTCGGTATTTGCACATCAGCAGGAGAAAAACCACCTTCCGCAGCCTTCCCATACTGTCGTCCAGACGTCCTGCAAAGCTTCTAGATGTACCCCAACGCCTCTTTGCCAAGCTGCCGCCACAGCCAGAAGCCACGACCCCAATCCTTTCGCCGTTATCGTGTGCCAGCACCACCTCCCAGGTACCTTGAAGAGCCTGGGAGCTCGCAGGTCGGTTCCCACGTCCACCACGTAGATGCGGGAGGAGATCAGGCTGGGGAGGATCAGGCGGTTCCGCTTCTTGGTGGCATCCCCGAAGCAGCTGCTGCAGACGTTCCACCCCGAGTGGTGCAGCTCGTCCCCCAGGTTGGGCATGGGCAGGCGGTGGATCACCTGCAAGGTCCCAGCCCTGCTGACTCTGCTCTTCCCTCTGCCAAGGGCAGGACCACAGGCAGAGCGGGGGGCTCGGTGCGCTGCAGACCCCACCACAGGGCGAGGGTGCCTCAGGCAAGGGGAGCGATGGTGCACGGGGGATCCTACGGACGGGGTGTGAAGGGGATTTTATGTGCATTTCAGAGCCTTGGGGAGAAGTGGACAGGCATGAGCCTTCGGTACTGAGCCAGCAGCTTTGGGGAGCGTGACGGAGGAGCACTGAGCTGTGTCCCAGGCCAGTTTAGTGCTGAGATAAAGCATTTGGTACCTGGCAATAGTGTGGAGAGTTGGGGTTGACATCCACGGTGGCCAGAAAGTCGGGTTTATTCCTCCCAGTGTTCCTGTAGATGCAGGGCACATACACAATCTCCTCCCGGGGACCTTTCAAGACAGAAACGTTGCATGAGTATGAGTGGAAACCACCTTGGACAGAATAAAAACTTTTCAGGAGTCTCTGGTCAGCCTAGATCTCCCTCCCGGGGAGCCTGTGTGCTCCCCTATATGTCCGGGGCCGTTTGGTCTCCATCTCTCTGCCCTACCAGAGGCAATAGGCTGGGCTCCGTTTGGAGGGGGCTGCCCTGCGGGGGTTCGGGCTTGTTCAGCTCCTTTGCCCTGGGAAGGGATCTCTGGGCCGCAGAGTCTCTAAGGAAGTCCACGGCTTTGGGATCACCCCACGCCTGCAAGGACACTCCAGCCCTTCCCCAGTCCCACCAGTCATGCAAATCACACAACACAGTGTCCCATTTCCGTCACATCTACACAGGGGAAGCCTTACAAACACGTGAGACCTGCTTGCCAGCCTGCAGCCAAAGGCAGAAAGCCCCCCAAGCTCCCGTGCAGTCCTACCGAGCAGTGAACATCTACCGTGACGGGATGGTGCAAGAGCTCCCCGCCTGCGAGGAGAGGAGGTCTCTGCCTCAGGGATGTCCTTGCAGCAACGGGTCTGCCATGGTCCCTGCTCCCCAAGGAGGAGCTGCTGCCCTGGTGCAGGCACGGCTCCCGATAGCAAGGGTGATCAGCTTTGCCGGGAAATGGCTTTGCTCCAGGACCTGAGCACCGCCCAGCCCTCAAGCCAGGGCGTTCAGACCCTACGGAGCCTCCTTACCGCTGCGGAGGTGGTACTCGCTCTTGCTTGGGTCAGGATAAAGCATTGCCAGAGCGAGGGCTAGCGGGGAAGAACTGGTTTAGGAAATGCTGAGGAAGAGAGAGTGGAGGGGAACAGAGACACAGAGGTGGTTTGGGACCTTTGGGTTTGCTCCAAACCAGGCGACAGCCGGCTTTGCCACACGGCGCCTCGGTCAGTCTTGGGTTTGAGAGCAGCTGCCAAATGCTGCGGGATCCCCCCCTGCTGCGGCGATGGCACCAACAGCCAGGGCATGGGACATGGCCACAGAGCTCATTCACCTCCTGAGGCATCCAGGGGCCACCGAGGAGCTTCTCGCCACCTGCTCGGGGGCCTGAGCTGCCAGACGCTTGCACGGAAGAGCTTTTCGGGTGCCAGAGTTACTCGGCATCACTGAAACAACCGGACAGTTCCCAATGGAACTTGCCAGAGTAGCAGAGTCAATGGGATTTGTGCTATTTGCTAATGACTTTAATCACCCTCCAGCCCTGCCAACACACAGGGGTGATTTAAAGACTTATTGCTCCGTTGTTGTTTTCTTGGTTCAAAGACGTTTTGGGGGTAGGAACTGCAGATCATGAGCAAGCTCCAGAGCTCTCTAAGGCTTCAAGGATGTGTTTGCTAAGCCCTGGAGAAGAGGATTAAGGGTGGGACAGCCAGAGATGATGCATTCACCAGACTCTTCACATCAGAGCACCAGTGTTTCGGTGATGCAGCGAGATGGATTCTCAGGCAAAGCGTCCAGACATGCAAGGAAGGAGGTTTTGTCGCGTTGTGATCCCAGCCATCAGGAGCAGAGAGCAATGAACAATGAGGATGGTTCCTTCTCCCTCCCCAGGTTTAGCTCCAGGTTTAACAATGTCGTGGGGCTCTAGCAACACGATTGCCTCTGAGAAAAAACCCATTTGGTTTTGCACAAGAAAGGCAGGGGTGGCTGCTGCAGGCTATGACCCATCCCAAGCCATCATGAAACCTAAAAAGGTTTGTTCTGACACCAAGCTGTCATTATACAGTTGATGTTTGGTCTCAGGATGGGCCAGAAGCGAAACCATCCCTTCCCTAACGCGTGCTGGGAGCCTCCTCAGAGAATGGAGTGAGCTGATAACACCCTCTTGTAAGGATTGTTTCAATCCTCACCCACACCACAGACAGCGCAGGGCTCTTCCCTGCCCGCCCTGGATTTCAGACTTGCCTTTCATCGCATCCAGAGGCGAGGCGAAGCCAGGACCGCACGCTCCACACTTTTCTGCATTGAGAAGAACAGAAACAAACAGAAATTAGACGACAGCGAGTTCTTTTAATCCTCTTTTTACCAAGGAACCACTCACTGGAGTGGCTGTGGACGCTCCACCCTGTGGCAATGCTTGAGGCGAGCCAGGATGCCCATGGGCATCCAAATGACCCCCAGAAAGGTTTGGGGCTCTGGGCAGCCCGAAAGGCCAGTGACATGTTCCTGGGTCAGAAAGGTCGAAGGCTCCGAGCCGTGTCTCTCCGCTTTGCCTCCCCTTGTGTCCCTGGGGCAGAGAGGAAGGGTTGCCTCAACACGTGCAGGGGTGACGCCAGGCTCGCACGGCCTCAGGGAGACGCTGAGAGCTCTGCGGTTCTTCTGCGAGGAGGAGAAGGAGGGGAGGCAGCGAGGAAGAACGGCAGTATGGCCAGGCTGCCACACCGAGGGCAGAGGGAGGGGAGAGGATTCTCCTGGGAGCTGAGCGGGGAGAGAGCATCCCCTTCGCTGCAGGGTGAGGAGGGGGATGAGCCCCAGGCTCTGCCCTGCGGCTCCTCCTGACCCTCTTTGGGATGGCTGCGCTTTGCTGCGCCTTGGTTTGGGGGCATCAATGCAAAGCCTTTGCACAGAAAGCCCTTTTCCCACCCAAGAGGTTCAGCGCTCGAGGCTCAGCCGCCCTGCCAGCCCCTAACGTCATCCCGGGAGTCCCCGTCACGCTGCTGCGGGTCTCCAGGGCTCTTCGAACCCTCGTTCTCCAAAAAGACTTTGAAAGTGCTGAGAAAATTGTCCTTAATGCAGCTGAACAAGAGCTTGTTAGGACCCCCCCCCCAAAGACCGCTCCTGCCCATTCACGACAGCCTGAGGAGAGGGAGGATCCCCCCACCTCAATCCTGCGACTTGGCTTTGTCACGTCAGCTCCTTCTTTGCTTCTGTTCTTGGTGGTTTTGTCACGCGTGTCCCTGCTCCGCCAGGGAAACGCTCCTACCCGAAGCACGGCGAGACCACCCCTCCAGCTGGCTTCTTCCCTCCCCTTGTCTTTCTCCTGCAAAACCAGCCCTGTCGGAGGCAGACTTGGCGCTGAGGGCTCCCTTGCCATGCTGCGCTGACGGGAGCGAGCACAGTCTCTACAAGTTGCAGGTGAATAAATATTAGAGAGAATGTTAGAAGGCTTTTAATCATCAGCCTACCTAAACATCTCCTGGCGCTTTTAGCAGCTCGAGGAAAGAAACCCTTTCCTGGCCAGAGAAAACACCACGTTCATCCCCATGTTTCCTTTTACTTGATGCTTTCTGGGTGTCAGAGTAACAAAACCACAGAACCCAGCTGCAAACGAGTCTAGGAGGACTCCAGAGCAGAGCCCATGGCCAGAAGGCAGCAAGCCATCAGTCCCAAGCCTTCTCTTGAGAGCAACCTGCAGTCAAGGGAGAGGTCTCTTACCTGTGCCGGAGGCTGGGTTGGATTTCGTCTGCTGAGGAGCAGCGGAAGGAGACGATCCCGCTTGCATTGTGGCCGCTGGGAGCAAGTCAAGAGAGGAGACCCGGCTCCGCAGGGGTTCAAATATATAGGGAGCAGGATGGGGACAAGGAGTGCTGAGGGGAGGATCCACACCTCTCGAGATGTGGGAGGTACTGGGGCAGCCTTAACCTCTTACAACACTGGAAACGTGCAGGGAGGCTACTTCAGCGCTAGCAGAGCCTCCTCCCTTCCCACAGGGTCAGGGGGCCAGGCTGCTTCTGCGCTGCATAGTGCACACTGGGGGGCTTTGAGCCATGAAGGGGGGGCAGACTGCTCCCCTCCTCCGATGCCCTGCCAGGAGCTGTCTCGTTTCCCCACGGGGGTGCCCCTGTAGAGGAACGGGCAGGCGCTGCGTTCCCAACCGCAGAAATAATTTTATGAGGTTGCAGATGTTAATCACAACTGAAAATTAAAAGTGAGGACTGGATTTCTTTTAATTGCAGGGTGAGTGTTCACTGTGGGATGATCATTTGCTGGCTGGGAGGAGGGCGGCAGCAGGGTAACAGTTCTCCTCGTGACACATCTGACTTGGTCAGTGTCTGCTGCTGCTTCTGGCCACGCAGCGGGGCAGCAGCTG